AGAAGTCCGGTGTGCTGTCCTGTGTTTTCTCAACATATATTTTACATATCTTCTAATCTCTTTTTCACTCGTTCTCATTACATTTCACTTTTTTCTTTCTCCTTTTTCTGCTATTAAAAAAATCATAATAATGGTGTGGAGGAGATGGCTATAAGGGGAGAAGGGAGGCCATCAAAAAAAATCCTGGCTTTACTTTTTACCTTTTGTCATTGTTCTGCTTATTTTAACTTATTTGAGCAAATTTCAGCTTCCTTCACCTTATATTTAGCTGATTTTAGTTTACTTATTCTGCCATTTTTCTGTTCATTTACATTTTTTGGCTTCTTTTTGCCAAGTTCAGCTGTTTTGTGTTTTTAGCTACTTTTTAGCTAATTTAAGATTTTCTTTCTTGCAGCTACATTCATCTTATTCTGCTAACTTTAGCTACTTTTTCAGATATTTTTAGGTATTCAGCAAATATCTTTCAGCAGTAAGCATTCACAATGAATTTTTGCATGAAATGCAATTCTTTACATTTAGTTTGAGCTTGTATTTCCCAAATTCCAGAAACTGATGAATGAAAGAGGACAAAGTTGTTTTAACAGCTGCATATTTCCACCCACGTCGGCTGTATAAACATGTACCTGTGTGTCCTGTAAGCTGCCCACATGAGAGGAGTCATGCCGTTTTGATCCATCATGTCAACATCCTGCAACAGAGAAACACAGTCAGACGACCACAGGTGCTGAAGAGAAAAACTGAAGGAGCAGGGCGCCCCCTGCTGGACGGCATTGGTTAAAAAACAAAACAAAAAAATAAAGTACATACCCACATCAAACAAAATAACTTCAACTAAGCTGTAAAATAAGTTTGTTTTTGTTTATGCAGTGTTTGTTACTCCCACCTGTCCTTTAGCAATGAGGTAAGCCACAATCGAAGTGTGACCGAACTGGGCAGCCAGATGAACACAGCTGCAGCCCTCGCCATCAATCAAAGATGGGTCCGCGCCATATTTCATGAGCTGCACCACCATGGATAGATGGCCTTGTCTTGGAAGAGAGAAAAACACAAATAAAAATGTAGACAAAGGAGAACAGTAGGAACAAATATGTGGGGTTAGGCTTGCTTTACAGTCGTCATCTGATGCAACCATTCCTCAAACAGTCAAACTAAAATTTTGATCCAAAACGGAAAAAAAAAAAAAAAACCTTTAAGACTTGACTGAGCAGAGCTGTATAGTAATTAGAGAAGGGCAGTGAATTTAAACAGAAATCCAGTAAAAACAGTCTAATTTAAAGAATTATTACTACTATTTTCTTCCTTTTGTTTTTTTTTTTTGTTTTGTTTTGTTTTTTTTTTTAAACAGGACAACTAGTGTTGACTAGGGTTGGGCTTTACTGGCAAAAACAACCACAAACCCTGGGGCTGGGTATCGATTCAGATTTCCCAAATCGATTTGATTCGATTCACAGAGGCCCAATTCGATTCACAACGATTCAGGATGATTCACGATTCAGTTTGATTGATTTCTAAACTAGTTAAGGATATCAAAGCAGTAACACATTTATTTTCACATGTAAGACATTATCAAAGGAACTAATTCTGTAAATAGAAACTAATTCTAACTTGGTGCATTGGTAAAATTATAAACATTAAGGGCAAACTTGTAAATTGGAGTTTAATCTTGAAACAAAACTGTCTCAAGTTTCAAAGGGTTTAAAGTAAAAAGGAATTGCAAGAGAAAGTGTTGTTGGATACATTAGTTTTTTAAGAAACTRAGAATAATTTTCTTGATCATTAAGAAGTGATGGAATAAGGTTACAGGAGAAGAGGGGGGATAATATAAGTGTATACTTATGCCCACTCTTTTGAGAGTATGATAACTGTATATTTGTAATGTTTCTGTTAGCTTCTGCTCAATAAAACTTAACAAGAACAAAGAAAAAAAAGGTACTTCAACTAAAACAGTCCTTCATAGTGAATTATATTAAGATGTTTCTTAAATTTAATAATATTGGTAACAAAACTAAACCATTTTGTTAGACTGGCATCTTTCACACATTTATATATGCTGAGGAGAACAGTTTCAGTCAGATGTTTTCATACAGTAGTTTTGGTTCGAGCCGCTCGAAGCTTTGTTTCCCGCTACYGCGTCWGAGCAAATCTTTGCAAACAAAAGTTGTCATGGTCTCTATTGTCTTTAAGTTCAGCTGAGAATCAGATGGTAATGTTAGTGAGTCCTCAGTTTCTTTTGTTTTGCCCCAGACAACTTGTTGTCGGGAGCTAACGTTAGCACTGACTGTCAACTGGATGTAAACCTACAGCAAGCCAGGAGTGGCACACAATACGGAAACGCACAGCTTCATCGCACACAACAGCCATGGGGAAAAAATCAATCTCATGACTTATGAATCGATTTTCCCAAATTTGAACGAAAATCGCTCCAGATTGATTAAATCGATTTTTTAAAACCCAGCCCTGCGTTTAACTATGACATTTAGCTCCTTCAAGGAAGGACTCAAAGCACACTAGCATTCATTTTTTGCCATCAGTTTATTTTGAAAGTCACGGGTGAGTTCAGTTTGCACCCCCACCTCTGCTGATCCATTGGACTGGTGAAAAAGGAGGAATATAAATATCCTGGGATAGCAGGACTAGCTGCATTATGTCTCATTACTTTTATTAGTGTGTTTTTCAAATGTGGGACTCAGGATGACTTGGGGGTGGGGGGTTATTTTTTCGGCTCATGATGCTGAAACTGACAACAGAATTCTTTCCACAAGACTGCGTGTTTCCTGCATGTATTATTATTATTATTATTATTATTATCATTATCATTATTATTATAGATTCTGCTTGGCCTATCAACACAATTTAAAAACTGATTTAAAGTTTGAAGTCTCTACTTTTGAATCAAATTGTTACAATCTCAAAGCATCAGCTCAAAGCTCAGCGTATGTTTCCAGTTAGAGTGATTTAAATCAGTCATGTGAACCGCCCGCAGACGTTACCAGTTAATGGAATGAAACAATTTTTACTCTAATAAACCATCATTAAACACTTAATTGTAAATTGATTGTTTGCATCTCTATGCGAGACAATATTTTTTTTTCAATTTATAAAAACTAAAACAGTATTTTTACAGTAAAAGGAAATGGTTATCAAGTAATATTCATTACAGCTAGTCAGGGTTTCATTTACCAGCCTGTTGTTGTGACACGTGTTGTGCCATAATAATTAGTCCTTAAAGGACAAAAGCATACATTGTGAGAAAAATGAATTGCAAGTAGGTTTTGTGTTTTGTTGTGCTGGCTGATTGACGGGGGGGTCAAAAAAAATTACAAAAAATGTGACCTGAACTGCTGAGTAAAACGTGCTGTAGTGCTGTTGACAGACAGAGGAGACTGGGGGCTTCTTAAAGGTCACTGGTGGCTGGTGGGGATGAGGTGACACAGGACTCTGGAGTGTCTGWGACCCAGTGCTGCTGGAGCAGATGTCTGTTGTTGAATCAATCCATCAATAATTCAAGAGGGAAGGATGTAGTGGGCTGAATAAAGGGAGGAGTGGTGAAGCTCATGTGACCTTCATGTGTTCAGGAATAAAAACCGATGAAGAGTTCAGGTTTAGCTTTAATCGGTACGTCTGCTGGGTGAAGCTTCATAATGTGTTCACAGATTTATTTTTTACAAACAAGCAAGCACAACCATGTTTTGTCTGACATGTTCATTTCACACTGCAACAAATATATAAAAAACATGAATAGTAAATGCTATTAGGTGATATCTCTGGAGTGTGCAAAAAAAGTGCATGTGAAACTCGACTGTTGTCATAGCAACAGATGAGAGAACGCCTACTACATTCACACCCATTGATGGTAGGTGGAGGTTGTAGCGGCTAGCGTACCCCGTGGCTCTTTGAATTTTTTTTTCTTTAAAGGATTCCACTTCTAAAACCATTAAACATTCCATCAAAACAAAGAGCAGCAAAGTCAGTAAGCAGGTGTCAGATCATGTGTGTTACCTCGTGGCCCAGTGCAAAGGTGTGGAGTTGAGGTCTCCTCCTAGCTGGTCAACTATGGCTCCCTTTGATATGTAATACCTGCACACAAACAACATTCCTGTGATACTCTGTCCAATGTTGATCTAATCTGTATTTACACCACAACCAGTGTAAGCAACAGAGTTTACTATATACAAATGTYCTCAGTCAGCAGGCTTAAAGTTTCAGGAGCTGCTTCAGTAAAACTTCCTCCTCATTTCATTTCATTAGAATAAAACTAACAAGTAAAACTACACTCAAACCATTAGCAAGTCTCTACAATCGGGCTTTAAAGGTTTTATATCAAAAACCAATCAGATTCCATCAATCATATTTTGGCTAAATTTGGCATTTTGGATTTTACAAATTTTATAAATTATAATCTTTTAAAATTGATTTATAAGTGTTTAAATGGATATGCACCGACACCACTGTGCGATCACATACAAAG